CTCACATAAATTACATTACGGAGGGGTGCCTAGCTACAGAGCGTGTCGCAGGTCCACAAACAGTTTCCAGTTACCCAGTCCAGGCCCAATGATCTGCAGTGTTTCATTTCAAGAACGCACTTGGAGCAGTTTAATACACATAACAAATGTTATTTTTACAACCCAGGCGAGGAGGCTCCTCTAGAAATAGTTTAAATGATATATCCACAGTGGCAGAAACGTTACGGTTGCAAATCTTTCAGTATAAGTAACTTACTGCGACTTGTAACATTGATTGGCATGGCTTTCATATTTCCCCCTCAACTTCCAGAGTAGTGCTTGGCAGTTGGCAGTATATTTGCCAAGACTATAATGTGTTCAGTCCGTGTAGTCCCGCGTGCAAAAGAGTAGAGACAGGTGACTGCATCGGCCGCCCGGTTTTGACAGAGCAGCAGATCTCTTTAGCTCGTAGGAGCGGCACACCCGGCTCTTTGCAGCAACAACTTCTGTGCCAACCGCTGGCTTGCACACAAGCTCTGAGGGTCAATTTTGGCCATCGAGAGAGGACGCAGGTAGGAACTGTGATGAGGGCCCACTCCTCTGAGTTACAAGAACAGCCCAAAGACATGGTCAGGAATTGGAGAGAGGCTTTCTGCAGGTTGCCTTAAACTAAGAAAAGCCATGAAAGTAGTTATTGGCTTATAAACTATAAGTCAGGAAGCTCAGACAGCCTGTGTGGAAGGGGTAAGCACTTTCATTTCCTTGCCTTAAATAGTAGTGATGGTGTGGAAGACTAACCAGAGTAGTCCAGCCATCTGCTTCTTAATACTTTTTTCTTCCTTTTCCTTCCCATTTTTGTCACTTTTGCTCATCCTGTCTGCATTGTGCTTTGGTCTTAAGCTCCTTGGAGCGAAGAAGCATGTTTTCCGGTGTATAAAATGCATACATGATAAGTCTGCGTAGCCTTTAAGGCCAGTTGGTTGACTGATTAGTTCATCCCGTCTGTCTTGAGTATCCCGGGGCATTACATTTTGTCCCCTGTATTGAGCCAGGAAGTTGTTTGGGTAAAGTCCCTCCTTTTGGAGGAGGCAGGTAGGGGGTTAATCTCTCTCATTAGGAAAAGGAAAAAAATACCAGTCAAACCTGAATTTTCTTGTTTGTTGTTGTACTTCTGCCCGCTAGACTAGGGGGCCATTTTGGACGTGGTATTTTCTCACCTATATATTGCCATAGTTACTGCTTAATACGGTGAGAACCGCCATTCTGGAGGCATTTCTTGTTCCTAGCTACTCGGCTGTAAAAACGGGACCAGTTTCCAAGCTGTTCAGATCTCTCTGGATGGCTTTGTTCTCCACATTGTTTCTCTGTCTGCCAAACCTTTGTGTCATCTGCCATATTTCCTGCATTGATTCTATATTTGCTTTCAGATCATTGATGAAAAGGTTGAGTCGCCTCTCGAGAGCCTGCAGGGCCTCAGTGCAGACCCCTTCTCTGACGGCGATTCCCCGCTGACACCTGCTTTCTGAGATGCCTCCATTCATTTGTAACCCATCTAATGCATAGCACTAATCGTGAGAAGAATTGCGTGTTGTACTAACTTAGTCAGAGCCTTACAGAAATCCAGGTACATTTACATTTTACAGGTACCCGTCAGCCAAACTTGTCAGCCCACAAGGAACTCCTGTTTTTTAAAGACGTATTATTCATAAAGCCCTAGTGACTGGCAGTGTGATCTGTGCCGTACTTGAATTGTTTAGCAAACTAATTCTGGATCACCGTTTCCATTATTTGCCTGGGATTAACATTAGGCTAACTGGTCTGTAGTTACCTAGGTCCTGCAGCTTGCCCTTTTCTGATAGCTGAACTGTAGGGCTTCGGGTTTTGAGCTGCCCTGGATCCCAGGATTTAGTAAGAGTTGCCAGAGCGCTCCTTGCCCATCTCTCCCGGGAGTGTACAGGACATGATCTATGTATATACATATTCCTTGAATGATGCAACGTGCCATGTCTCAAGAAATCTGAATTCATCGTTCATCTGTTTTCTCTCCTGTATGCTGCGACTTCTCGCTCGTTGGCGGTGCGTGTAGTTCAGACTATACCGCCCTCCTTTACTTTCTGAGGGACAAATTGGGTTAAATCAGGGGTGCTTAACTTCTGGACCACAGAGCCATGGCATCTGGCCCACGGGGCTCCCCGTAGGTTGGGAAACTTGGTGGTGGGGAGACAGTGGAAATGAATACGGCCACCATCCCCAGTTGCCAAATCCCAAGCCTTGTGCGGTGGGCTGGAGCTGGGCCGCACCCCGTCCCCCTGCACGGCCAGGTTGGGTTTGCTCCAAGGCCCTTTCTCCCTGCATGGCTGGAGCGGGGCCAGGCTGTGCCCCCTCCCTCCTGCAGGACCAGGCCGAGCACCCTTCTCGCCGTGTGCCTGGGTTGGGGCTGGGCTGCCCCTGCCCTCTTCTGCGCGGCCAGATGGGCCCCACCAAGCTTGTCCCGGGTGTTGGATCGGGGCCGCGGATGGCCCCAGGCACTGCCCAGGTGGCCCACTGGGCAAAAGGTTTGAGCACCATTGGTTTAAATGAAAGTTTTCCTTTCTCAAGCTGCAAACAGTGAGAGTGGAAATTATCCCGTCTCCTTACTCTGAGCGAAATAACAGTTTCTTTACAGTTCCACGTACCACTTGTTCTTTCCTTTTCCTTCTTTGTGCATGTAAATCTGGCTCAGGCTCTCAAATCCCAACTTTGTCTGCTCTCCAAGTATTTAACCCCTTTGCTTTTGGTTCCCTATCCCTGCAAATACTGAGAGGATGAGGATGAAGTTGTGCCTCACTGGCTCTCTGTTCCTGGTTCTCCACGTGGCTGATTTGCCCATCATACCGCACCTGTGATTTCAGCCTATAATATTTTGTATAACTGGCTGTGCATGTCACATCACATAGTGCATCTGGAATAGCTTGCAACCTTTTAGGAGGGAGAGACCACGGGAGGAGAGAATAGAGCTTTTCTTTAATGTGTACAATTTGACTGAATCATGCCCATAAATTACAATATTTTGGTCTTGTTTATTGTAGGAAGAGGGTGTGAATGTAATGTTTATCGAGCACTAATGTTTGAATTCAGTGGTTTATTTCTTTTTCTGCAGTATTTAATGGAATAAAGTAATACACTAAGAATCTATTTATAAAATGAGATTTTAAGCTTCTGAGACTCATGCTGTTAAAGTTGGCATATTATATGCAAAGTAGCAATCAGTTTTTGAATGGACTTTCTGAATAGTACTTAAAGACATCTGAAGATTGTATTGAATCAGCTGAATAATTTCACAAAATGTTTCAAGGACGCTAAAGAGCTAAAATAACAGTTAATGGCATTTCAGTTTTATTACGATTTATTGTGCTTGGAGGTTTAATTGTATGGGTTTCTTTTTGGTTTCTTTAACTTAACGTGCTCGGGTGTCACTTTTGAACAACACTGGAAAAAGCTTACAAGGATTATGATGGGAAGGAAAGGCTCTGGCAAGGTGTGGTTACTTGGAGATTGATAATTACTGTGTTCATTGTCGGGCCGCTGCTGAGTACATGGTGTTAAACCGAGGGTGCTGCAAGTTTCAGTACTCGCCAATTTACAAGGAGACAGGCTTTGGCAGTAATTGGATGCAAGCACTGGGAATCCCTGTATCGCATCCTTTCAGGGGGTATGCGCTAGCTGCTTGGCTTGTTACAAGACAATGGACTATAACATGTTATCAGTCGAATTACTGTTAACTTCCCTCTTGCCCCAGACCGTACCAGTTCCAGTGTGGTTTTTGTGACCTGTTTTGAGAACCATCCAAGCAAGTAGGAATGCTTTTACTATCTAAAAGGAGCCTGGCATGCCGGTTCTGAAACAGTAAAAAAAATTGATGGGAAGCTCATGTTGCAGTTTAATGATCCAGTCTCTGATAACTTGTTTAGAAATATTTTGCTTGTCTACTTGCGGTTACTTTTAGGAATAATGGAATTTTATAAGGCTTATCCTGGACCTGCAACCAGATAGAGATGAGCATTGATCTCTTCATGTGTCTCGATGCTAAACCCCTTGGAAGCATGATGATGAGGAGGAGGATAACTTGTGACAGTGTGTCAGGGTCTTTGCTGGAGTGATGATACTGAAGTCCGAGCGGCTTCAGCAGAAAATGTTGGCTTTGAAACTTTGCTTGCTTCATGCCGTGTGGCTAAGTATTGCAGCACGCCTGCGTGGTGGGCACGCGTGAGTTGTTCATCAAGGATTTAGTTTGGAGTTTGCCTCCAGATTTCCTTGTTTTGAAGGGGCCAAATTTGGCTTCTCTCTTCACAGTTTTGCTAACAGTCAATTGGAGCAAAGCAATGCATTCGTGACCGTTAAAACATTATTTTTCCCTAATTAATATTAATGGTATTTCTCTTGACAATAGCAGATGGGAATTGCAATAGATTTTTTGGCAAACGTTATATCATACAGGGGTTAGCAGCAGAGCAAGGTCCCCTCTGGCCTGCGGAGCTGGGCGCCTTGCTCGGGTAGCAGGGAGAGGTGGCAGCGGTGACGGTGGCCCTGGCTGCGGCAGTGGCAGAGGTGCAGGCAGGACCGGAAGCAGCCTCCTCTTGGAGCTGAGCCTCCCACAGCCATATGGTGCCGACCGCTGGCATAGAGAATAGCTTCTCAGTTGAACGTATTGAAATTAAAATTAAAAAAAAAAGTTTTTCTGTTTGTGGTGATGATGTTTGGAAATGAGTGGGGGATATTTTTTGATCAACTTTGTGCAGTGATCCAAACAGCGTGAGATTGTACATGATAGCCCCCTCCCACAACGTACCGACTGCTGACCAGGTAACTTCCTAGCCCTGCAACCTTAGCACTGACCGGCAATGCTGGAGTTCAGCCCATGGGAAAATACTAATCTGAATACTGAAGGGAAAGTGTCTTGAACTGTAGGAAATCTCGCCTGTTGTGCCTGAGAATACCTTAATATTAAAAACGTTCCTCATAATTATTTCTGCTTTTCACAGCTGTCGCACAAGCAACAGGAAGAGTCTGATTGTAACGTCCAGCACCTCTCCAACGCTGCCGCGACCCCACTCCCCTCTCCATGGGCATACAGGTAATGCCAGGCACCGTTTTCTACCTCAGAATCAGTAATAAAAAGATCTTAGTATTCATTACAGTTGGCTGAAAGTATTTGTTTTCAAGTCAAATAAGCTATTAAAATCCAAATCCAATTTGGTCTCTGATTCGTTACCTCCCTGACAAAGGGTTGTTAACTGGTTCTAACTGGTGTGTACACACATGCACAAACGCAATATAAGAAAATGTAATTCCCTTCTCATGACTGTACCCATCCTCCCAGTCCACTTCCAAATGAAAAATCTGCCGTAGCTGTCATGTCGCTGGATCAACATTTCCGATCCTGCATTTTGCCAGAAATGTGAGACAAACGGTCTTCTAGAAACTAGTGCAACTAGTGAGTGACATCAGTAATTGTGTCAAGTAATCCTTTCCGACTCGAGTTCACGCACGTGGGATTGAAACCCGTTAATTAAAAAGGTTTCCTTTGTGACCTACAAGACTAGTCTATACAGACAGAAAGAAATGACATGCGATTGGAGTACTCTATAGATAGTATGCTTAGCGGCACCTTCCAATTTTTCCTGTAGACAAGATGAGATGAGTTTTCGTCTGTCAGGAGTATTTCTCTTAACTAATAACTTAGACAGGTCATGGAATGAGAACAACCGCCCTATTTGTTTTTCAGATTCGCAGCATGCCTGTCGAACAAGGTGTCTGTGTGCATTGCAGTCTCAGCAGCGCCCACAACGCTCTCTAAAATAATACGACATTTCAGTGGATCTCTAGCAAACGTTCTCCCTTGTCTCAAAAACCAGCTTGTCCCCAGTATCTGTTCCATGCCCTCACTTGCAAAGAGCCACGCAGGAAAACCAAGAAGACTTCCTTAAAGGAGGTCTTTCAGAAATCAGCATCCCCCTCACCTCTAACTAAGTTATTTTTGAAGCTGGCGCTAGAAACTCTCACTTGCTTGCATTTGCCGGTGAGATAGATGAGTATGTATGGTATAATACTATGCCATTGTGATTTGGGAAGATCCTTATTTTTAATGGTTTCTGCTGTTGGGAAATGCATTTTTTAATATCTGCAACGTTATCATTGGAGCTTCACCAACAACTTCTTGATGTTGGGGAGTGGCTTTTCTGTGATCTTTAATTAAAAAAGGCAAAATAGGGAAAGTAAGGACCCAGCTAAGCAAAAGCATGCCCCGTCACAGACTTTTTACTTGCAAGACAACCAATACTTGAAAATTGTTATTCCAGGAACTTTTGCTGACTGATTTACCAGACAGTTTTGCATAGAAAATGTATGTATTTTTGTAAGCCTGAATGTCTACATCCATGTCAAGGACTCGCCTAAGAAATATTAGGATCAGAATGCCACCTGCAAATGAAAAATAAGGGTTTGCTTTTAAAGCTTTGTTTAATCAAAATCTCCGTAAGAAGCTGTATTTTGAATAGTTAACAGATCGTTTAATTTTTTTCTCAGGCCAAGTTGTAAGGATGAGCGCTGATAGGGAGGGCAGGGCATTCCAGTATCGTATTGCTTCAGGACAGGCAGCGGCTAACTTGGATGTGGTTTTCAACCTTCCGAATAGGAGACTGCCAGTTCTACTTGAAATGCTACGAACATTTGCTAGAGATCCATGCTAGTGTGGTGTTGTTTTAGAGAAGGTTGTGGGTGCTTTGTAAACTGCGATGCACACAGCCACATTGTTTGACAGGCGCCCTGCAAGTCTGGAACAAACACACGCTCAGCGTAAAGTGCTCTGGCAATCCTTTGGCAGCGGAGTCGCAGTGAAAAACAAAGCAGCACGTTATGAACATACTGGAAAAATAAAACGCAAACACCCTTTGGAAAACAGTGTGGGGAATACATAGCACAGTCCCCTGGAGCACAGTTTGGTAAAACAGCTTGTGAAGCTTTCTAATCTATAATTTTATCCTTTTAATATTAAATATCTCACGTTACGGTTTATGCAATAAATAAACTAGGTCAGAGGTTCCCAACCGCCGGGCTGTGGCCTGGTGCCGGGCCGCAGCGGGTTGGCTGCCAGACCGCAATCCAGAAGTGACCAGTGTACTGCGGACCGGGAGCGTGGCTGCCATTCGGCAGTATGCTGGTCACTTCCGGACTGCAGTATGCCGGTCGCGGTCAGTTCTGGTCTGCGGTCACTTCCGGTCCACGGTTTCCTGGTCCTTGATCTAAAAAGGTTGGGAACCCCTGAACTAGGTAACTGCGGTTATAGTCATTTTTCTTTATACCTGGACTTTCTTGCATACGGTATGCCACCAGGTAAAACACATGCTTGGTTTTGGGGAGGCAGAATAGAGAAGTCACAGCCACCTGTGTGGCAAAGTAAATCCTCCTGGGAGTATAAAGTGTCCAAGAAGTATGCCATGCCAGGAAGTCCCTGCTGCCTCACCCAGACGGTCTCTGGGAATGCCACACTTCCTGCACACTAGGAGTGCCTGTACGCGAGCGTAGAGGCTGCTCCGATTCACTGTAATTACAATGCACAGGAGCAGACTTGATTAATTGGCAATTATTGTGCTCCAGCAGCCTCCTGCATCTCATGTAACAACATCCTCACACGTACACATGGCAGCAGGGGCGCTTGAACTAAAGCTCGTTAACGCCCCTGCTGCCATGTTTAAGTGCAGAGATGCTGATACAGGAGATGTGGCAGTGCTTTAATTAAAGCCCCTCTCCCCCCCGCTCATGTAACATTGCCCTCCGTTTCTAGGAGGACTTACTCTGTCACTTAGGTTTAGGCCCCAGAGCCTTGCAAGGGAAGTGCAAGTCTGTTAGCTCTTTTCTGTAAGTAGTTCTTTATATAAGTTCCTGTGAACTAAGGGCACCTATACACATGACGGAGCAGACTCAGTTAAGCAAGTCTGCTGCGAGTCTGTTGGAGCGTGCTAATTAGCATGCTCCAGCAGCCTCCACATCATGTGTATTCAGTGTCCCCATGCTTCAAAATGGCAGCAGGCATTGGCAACGCGTAGGGGGTGCATGCAGGTGCACGTGCACCCCCTGAGATTGGCGGTGCACCCCCTGCAAACAGCGCTGTCGATGCTGCCGGCGATGCCTCTGAGCGGTCGTTGCTTGTCTACCACTGCTGCCATCACCGCAGCCGCCTGCGGGAGTTCCCTGCTCGCCACCGCCATGCCCCCGCTGCCAACACCGACACTGTCACTGTCACCTGTGGGCGGTCAGCGTGCCCCCCCCAGCCTTCAGGGGCACGCGGCAGTCGTGGCGGCAAGGGCACTTTAACTAAAGTTTGTTGAACGAGATTTAGTTAAAACACTCCCACTGCCATTTTGAAGCGTGTGACACTGCAAACACTTTAATTAGAGCAGGGAGCCACTCTTATTAAAGTGACTTCTCCCCCACCCCCACCCTGTAGCACGTGTATAGATGCTGATTTTTGGGGGGGGGGAATGCCTCATGTTGTATGTGAAAAAATAAGGTAGCATCACAGTCCAGTTGTTAAGTCATTTGACGCCTTAAGCTCCCACAGAAAGCAAAGCCGTTTCAAACAGTCAAAGAACTTCACTTGAGAAACCCCAGTCCTTTCCTGCTCCCTCCCCACCCTGCCCCGTTCAAAACCCAAATGATGTGACTTGAAGGTAAGCTGCTTGCTTTAAAGATCAAACCTTCATCCTGAAATTCCCTATAATTTACTGCTGTGATTTAGGCTCGAGTGAATTTTGCAATTACAGCCTGGCTTTACTTTAGGTATGAAAAATACCCAGTATATGCCCCGACGTTGCAGCACTTGCTCTGGCAGTGCTGTTTTAACTTTCTGTACGTCTACAAGTAAACCTCCACTGAGTCCACGTTAGTTAGAAACGGGGTCCTCGGGAAGTTTTCCATTTTGGGTGGATCTAAATAATCTCTTCTCAAGCTTTGTCTCCTTGAAAGCTGGCAGGTGGGAATCTTGAGTCAATCAAATGCAATGCATAGTCTTTGAAAATTGACTATTAAGGTAAACTTTTCTACGGTTTTTCATGACTGACAGTTGTTCTGTAGCAGAGGCTGAAGTATAGTGTTCATCTTGAACAAAAGTCATGAAGAATTGCTCTCTTTAAATGGTTGCTGCTTTATATTCCCAGCAGGATCAAGACCAGAGACTGGCTGTAGTTTATACCAGAGGTGCTTGACCCCTAGCCCGCAGGCCAGGTCCTGCCTGGAGAGCTGCATTATCTGGCCTTTGAGTCTTCCCAAAGGTCTGCAAATCTGGCAATTGGGGAGTGGTGGCAGCAAATTGCTGCTCCCCTGCTGTCACATTTCCAGACCTGGGGAGAGCCCCGTGGACAGGACAGCCAGGCCCTGCACGTTAGATTGGGTGCGCGAGGCCTGTCAGGGCAATGCCAGGCTGAGCGGGGCAGCGTGGGGCGGCATGGAGCTAGGCCGGGTGGCACAAGCCCGAATGGGAATGAGCAGGGTGGCATGAGGCCCGATCCTGGTCTGGTCCACGCCACTTATCTGGCTCGCCAGGCCAAGCGGTTGAGCACCACTGGTTTATACAGCCACCTTAAAATGGTCCATCATTTGTCCTCGTTCTCAGTGGGATTGAAATTGTAGACTGTCCGTAATGATGAATTCTGCTGCTTCTGTTCATATGGTCCTGTGCTTTCTGACGGCTCAAGGAGCCACCATCTTCCCTGAAGGCAGTTCAGCGTTGCTCCCTTTGGGAGCAACGGCAGGCAGTGGCTATCTTGATAAAAGGCAGCATGTGGTTTCACTTCCTTTCAAAATCGGTAGCGAGGACTATTTTGAAAGATGGTGATTTTTGATGTGCTTCTCTCATTTCATGCACTGGCATCAACCTGAAGGGGAAATTGTCAGCTATGATGAATGGCAGCAGAAACCCCTCATTTACTCTAAGCATTTCCTTAAAAATATTACCCGTTACACCTGTTGTACTCGACAGGGAAGATGAGAAGCATGGCAGTGTGTGTGTGCAGGCAAGAGACTGTTGGTGAAGGATATCTCCTTGAGAATGAGCAGGGGCTATTTGGAGGATGTGTG